GGGGTAGACCCACCACAAGGTTATATGAAGAGGCACAATGTAAAGTCATATGAAAATTATCAGAGATTTATCTACATCAGTTTTTCACGGTAAAAGACGTAATACAGCTTGGGCATGTGTGTGGGCACACTAGCTACACAGCATCAGCCCCAGTCCCCCACCCGCCCACCCCCTGCTTTCCAGGGACGCATACAGGGCACCTACAGAACTGGAACCAACAGCAAGCTCAGGGTGTGGGCTCCCCGAAAGGGCTCCAAAATCCCCCCTCCTCCTTTACCAGCAGAGAACCCCACTGGTTTATCTGAGGCCTTCCCTCAGGAGGGGGCAGGACTTGGCCTGTAGGTAAAATGGCAGCATCTCCCCTAGATCTATGGACCGAATTCCCCGGCTGGAACGTGCTGGTGCTGACCCCACTCCATCCCCTGCAGGATGCTGGGAGACTTCAGTCCAGACATGCTGCTCCACCTTCCTTCTGCCAGACCTGGTAGGATGCATGATCCTGTGGCGCCCTCTGCTGCCCAGCGAGGCCAAACCACAACGAGCCCATCTGCCAAACCAGCCACATGGTTATCCCAGCACGTGGCCCTGACCTTTGATTTTCCTTCCTTGAGTTCACTGGGGCGCCTTGCAGTGTAATGTGCGGAGAATTTCCTGTTGCTCCCTTGACATTAATGGGAGCCAGGCCACTAACATCCCTGGGCACCTGGCCTACAGCTCATCCCTGTGGCATGGGAAAGGCTGAGCCTGCAGGCAGTAGTGACCACAGCACTAGGGGAGACTGTAGGGCTGAGCCCAGGAAAGGGGAATGAAGACAGAGAGGACTGGGAGGGGAGAAGGGTGAAGGAGGGAAATAGAAAGAGAACAGAAAAGGGGCTGAGAATGAGAGAAAGCATCACTGACGGGAGGGATAGCGAAAAGGAGAAAGGGGCAAAAAGGAGCCAGGCAATAGAAAGGGGGAAGAGAAAGACAGTGACGCGTGGAGCTTCGGGCTGCATTGGTGAGTGAGCTAATGAGATAATCAAATGGCACTTAGCCCAAAGCATTTTGCAAACACTAACTGATCAACCTTCTCAACCCCCTAGTGATACAGGTAAGTATCCTACAGCCAGGGCCAAATTCAGGTGTGGGGTCCATTGAGGACAGTGGATTTGCAGCCCTTCATATTAAATCATGTCTGAACTCAGCCCAGAGAGGTTAAGTGGTAGCTAAAGAGATAATTGCCAGTTTTAAGGCCCTTTGTATCCTTCCAGAGGAAAGACAATATAGTAATGCAAACTATTTGTTACTTAGATATTCGTTATTCTCATCTTATTATTAATGGGCCTGTTCTTGTAACTCCTGGGGTTCTCAGAGAACTGCTCCATGAAGGAAATACTCTCTCCTCGGCTCTGTCTAGTAAGGGGAAAGAGCAACATGTGTGTCGAGGCGAACAAATGAGATAGAACAAGTAACATGAGAGCGACTTGGAGCAGAAAAGGGTGTCGCAAAACCCATGCCAGTCAGCAGAGGGCAGGGTAAGGAAAAGATATGAAGATGGTCAGGGACAATGTTGCAGAAGGAAGAGACCTTATCGCCCAATCTATCCCAACCCCAGGAGAGGGAATTACTGGAAAGAAAACAGAAAATAGACCCATTGCTGCCATAGGCAGTCCAGTCCGATAGAGGGGAAACACATGGAAGAGGTGAAGCTAGAGTGAAGGCTGTAAAATGGCCCATTCTTATTAAGTAGCTTTCTGTCTTAAGCGACCATTGCCAAAACACAGAGTACGACTCGACCCTACCCTACTGAGACCACCTCCGTTAAGCAACCGGCTTTGGCCCCCTGCTGAGCCGCCATGGGAGAACAGTGCATATGCTACTTGTATACGCTCCGTCAGTGACAAATCAGCTTGTCATTTGAAGGAAGAGAACTCAGGTTAATTAACCGGCGACAAAGGAGCAGGGCAGCCACAGCAAAGCAAGCCCAGGGCTGCGTTTGGATGAAGCAGTGCATGGAATCCAATGACTGAGGACAGCACGTCCTACTCAGTCTCAATAACATACCTCCCCGTCCCCAGTCACTGACCAAGCAGAGAAAGGCTGAGGAACACCCAGGACTGAATGGATATGGGAGTGGATTCCTTTCTCTCCATCAAGCATGTGTCCAGATAGGGCTTGAAGTATGTTTTCATAGAATATCTGGGTTGGAAGGGACCTCAGGAGATCATCTAGTCCAACCCCCTGCTCAAAGCAAGACCAATCCCCAGACAGATTTTTGCCTCAGATCCCTAAGTGGTCCCCTCAAGGATTGAACTCACAACCCTGGGTTTAGCAGGCCAATGCCCAAACCACTGAGCTATCCCTCCCCCCTACAGCAATTTGGAGTGGTCTAGTGCCCATGCCTGGAGTACTTTATAGTGGGATGGAGTAGCCCATAAACATGAACTAAGATCAAATGGAGTGTCAGTGTAGCATGTAATACATCATTTGTCAGGGCAATCTAGCTTGCTCTTGCAGGGGCCTGGACTTGATCTAATGGATCTTTGATCACAGATCTTTATCTATGCTCCTGTGACCTAGAGGGGAGACTCATGCCATGCTCAGTAACGTTCATACCTCGTGCCCGTCAAAGGCAAATAACTCTTATCTCCCCATCTCTCTCTTCCCTAAAACCAGCCCATTGTACATAATGGATCATGGGAGTTTCACTGAGAAGTTTATGAAACGGCACTGTCAGCTCCAGAGATGGTGTAAATCAAGACGATGTCCAAATAGGTATAAATTCCTCGGCTGTCCAGATTTGAGAGAAGAGGAACCTCGTGTAGCAGCCCAGGTAAGATCGGAGAATCAGGTGGCGGGCATACAAGCAGGTTGGTGGAATGGCTTTCGGCTTTAATAATAGCTTTGCTCTCGGAGATACTTCACCCCAGGTTTCCCTAGTGATAAATTCAAAGTTTTATAAAATATTAATAAAGCACTGAGCTTAACCTATTTGTAACAGGCTTTGGAGGAGTTGGAAAGCTAGACAGGCGCGCTAAGGAACCTGTTTTAGTGCCTAAGCTTGCTGCAAACTAAACTGTGTTCTTCTAATGGCTTCCTAGTCTATTAGGTTGATCACTGTAATAGGTCTGTTTCTTTGCAGGGAGCATGACATTTTGTCTACATGTTTTGTGGACGGCATTTAAATCCAACCATGTTGGCCATTTGCCCTGAGACCTTTGATCTTTCCTGCATTCTCATGCCTTCCACTAGTTCATGTCAATAAACATTTAAATATATATTATATATTAGGTGTGTGTTTCCCTTGGGAGTTAATATTTGTATTAAACTGACATTGAATTCACTCTCACAAGCATTGATTTGAGATTTCAAAAGTAACAAAACAGTGAGCGCAGCCCATAGGGTCTCAGTGACCAAATGCTACTGAGGAAATGTCTTGCTACCCTTTTAAGCAGGCTTCTTCAGATCTAATGATTCCCCTTAGCAGAGACAGATACTGAATCTCATTCCAGTAACCGCAGAAGCAGGGCATGCACATACTGCCCAAAAGGTGCCACCCAGTGAGAAAATAGTAGCGATCAGACATCTAACAATGAAAATGAGGTAGGATCAGAGGCTAAAATAATGAAAGAACAAGTTAGGAATTATTTAGACAAGTTAGATGTCTTCAGCTTACCAGGGCCTGATGAAAAACATCCTAGAATACTCAAGGAGCTGACTGAGGAGATATCTGAGCCATTAGCGATTATATTCAAAAAGTCATGGAAGACGGGAGAGATTCCAGAGGCCTGGAAAAGGGCAAATATAGTGCCCATCTATAAAAAGGGAAATAAGGACAACCCAGGGAATTACAGACCAGTCAGCTTAACTTCTATACCCAGAAAGATAATGGAGCAAATAATAAAGCAATCAATTTGCAAAAGCCTAGAAGATAATAAGGTGATAAGTAACAGTCAGCATGGATTTGTCAAGAACAAATCATGTCAAATGAACCTAATAGCTTTCTTTGACAGGGTTGCAAGCCTTGTGGATGGGGGGGCAGGAAGCAGTAGATGTGGTACATCTTGACTTTAGTATGGCTTTTGATACTGTCTCTCATGAGCTTCTCATAAACAAAACTAGGGAAATATAACCTAGATGGAGCTACTATAAGGTGGGTGCATAACTGGTTGGGAAACCATTCCTAGAACGTATTTGTCAGTGGTTCACAGTCAAGCTGGAAGGGCATAATAAGTGGGGTCCCGCAAGGATCAGTTCGAGGTCCTGATCTGTTCACTATCTTCATCAATTATTTAGATAATGGCATAGAGAGTACACTTATAAAGTTTGCAGACGATACCATGCTGGGAGGGATTGCAAATGCTTTGGAGGATAGGATTAAAATTCAAAATGATTTGGACAAACTAGAGAATTCAATAAGGACAAATGCAAAGTACTCCACATAGGAACAATCAGTTGCACACATACAAAATGAGGGAAGACTGCTTAGGAAGCAATACTGCGGAAAGGGATCTGGGAGTCACAGCGGACCACACGCGAAATGAGAGTCAACAGTGTAATGCTGTTGCAAAAAAAGCAAACATCATTCTGGGATGTACAACTAGCAGGAGTGTTGTAAGCAAGACACACGATGTAATTCTTCCGCTCTACTCTGTGCTGATTAGGCCTCAACTGGAGTATTGTGTCCAGTTCTGAACGCCACATTTCAGGAAAGATGTGGACAAATTGAAGAAAGTCCAGAGAAGAGCAACAAAAATGACTAAAGGGCTAGAAAGCATGATCTATGAGGGCAGACTGAAAAAAATGGGGTTGTTTAGTCTGGAGAAGAGAAGACCGAGAAGGGACATGATAACAGCTTTCAAGTATATAAAAAGTTGTTACAAGGAGGAGGGAGGTAAATTGTTCTTCTTAACCTCTGAGGATAGGACAAGAAGCAATGGGCTTAAATTGCAGCAAGGGAGGTCTAGGTTGGACATTAGGAAAAACTTCCTAACTGTCAGCGTGGTTAAACATTGGAATAAATTGCCTAGGGAGGTGGTGGAGTCTCGGTCATTGGAGATTTTTAAGAGCAGGTTAGACAAACCCCTGTCAGGGATGGTCTAGATAATATTTAGTCCTGCCATGAGTGCAGGAGACTGGACTAGATGACCTCTCGAGGTCCCTTCCAGTTCTACGATTCTATGATTCTTTGATTCAGATGGAGTGATCCTTTTAATTCTAGGGTTCTGTTCTTGACAGCAGTAACACTTGGCTTTGGCATTAGTTGAACCATGACAGAGGGGCCCGTGCGGACAGACAGCGAGATCAGTCGCGAAGACTCCATCATGGGCTCCGGTCAGAGAGAAGACAAGGACAGCAGAGCCGCCAGCCCAACAGGCTCCTTGGGCCACCATCCACACTCGCCCCCCTTGACACACAACCCCAAGGAGATCTGGAAGAAAGGAGGCCGCATGTTCTCGGTCCTGCTGGCCATCAATTTGTTGCTACTGGCCTGCACCCTGGTGAGCAGTGCGGCCTTCAACAAGGTAGCTGTGCATGACTACGACGTGTTTTTCATGCTGACCATCATAATGCTGATCTGCATTGCCTGGATCCTCTTCTACCTCATCGTCACCGCCAAGCGCCGGGACGCCATCCTCTACAAGGACTCCCATGCAGGACCTGTCTGGCTGAGAGGTAGGAAGCCACCATGGTTGATGCCTTGGGGTGGCGCGGGGGTGGGTGAAGATGGGATCCCATACAAGGTAAGCACTTCGTGAGGAAAGCATTGCCCAGATGGCCTCCTAGAGGCCCCTTCTCAAAACATCACTCACAGAGAACTTCAGAAGGTTCCTCTCCTTAGTGCTCTGGGTCTGAGGGGTGGACTCCAATGATCAGTCTCATTAACCTGTGTCGTGCTGGATCCGGCCCTTACGTGGGAGGGTTCTCCAAAGTACTTGGTTATTTTTCAGCCTCATCATTCACCATTCCAAGGGCTGTTGGTGCAAAGGGTTTGTAGGCTTTGGGGTAAAAAGAAAACAGGGACCACTATAAAGGGGAAGCCTGAAATGCCATCTGCCTCTACATGGCGATGCCATTTCTCTCCCTCCGCCGTCTGTCTAGACGAGCGTGGGCTCACCTACGTCTACCTGTCCACCCCCAACATGTGCACTTCGTCTCTAATTGCTTTGCTTCCTCAACAGGAGGCCTGGTTTTGTTTGCCATTTTCACCCTCGTGATGGACGTGTTTAAAACTGGGTATTACTCCAGCTTCTACAACTGCCTGTCCGCCATCAAAATCATCTACCCTCTCGTGCAGGCCGTGTTTGTGATCGTCCAGGTGAGCGTGGGCTCTTTCAGTGCCGGGGGGACAGGTGGGTGAGCTCAGGCATGATGCTTCACCTTCCCAGGGTGCTGATCACGCTTGGACCACTCTCTGCCCAGCGAGCTTAGCTCACTCCTTGATCCGTTCTAACCTAGCAGAGCAAACTCAGCTGACTAAACTCCTCTCCCCCCGGGAGAACACTTCCCCATCCGCCGTACCATATTTGATCTGTGGTGACTTGCTCTAGGTCAAAGTTCATAACTCTTTTCCATACTATGACCTGCTATTATTTGCATAGCAGGACTGCTCACATGAACCCCTAACCAGGTTCCAGCCAGGACTTCTCTCCCATTTAGCAACATGGAAAGGGCAGGATGGCCGTAACCCCTGATATCTGTTCATGATTGCCTGTGGGGTCTCAACCCCCCGGTTGGGAACCCCTGATGGATGTCAATACAGTGGAGTGGAGGAGGCTGGATGGGAGCAAGGGATAAGCAGGAGCAGCATGATGTGCAGCAATGGTGGGCAGAAGAAGGAGCTGCGGAGGCAGAGTGGAGAGCATGGGAGGGCTACAGCAGAAGGCAAAGTAAATGGGGCAGAAATGGATGGCAGAGGAGCAGCACGGGTGGGATAACGGGCCCGGTGCAGCAGAGAATAGGGCAGGGCCTGACTTTCATCCTGCAGAGCGTGGAAGTGGCTGGGTCTGTTTCTAGTCTGACACTGCCGCTTTGAGGTTGTCTTAATCAACACTTATATTTCTTCCAGACGTACTTTCTGTGGATTTCTGCCAAAGACTGCATTCACGTGCACCTGGATGTTACCAGGCGAGTATTTCTCCCAGCTGGGCGTGTTCCCTTCTGCACTGGTCCCCATTCCTCTGCCGAGCCCCCCCTGCAATTAGCGGCAGCTACAGGGGGAACATTCCTACATTCTTTCATTTCAGTGGGTCTGTTACAGGATTATCCTACCAGGCACACAGAAGAGATGGCCCCGTAGTGAAAAGCGGAGAGCTGCCACTTGGTTCCCAGCTACCCTGAAGTGCTAAAAGGGGAGGGTCCCTTCACAGATTAGGTTCAGAAAACTGTAGAAATGGGGGCCAGCTGCAAAATTGAGAGGCAGAGCCAGGGTTTTGGTTTGAGCACCGCACCAGTGTAATCCCGGCCCACGCAGTGTGGCACTCTGTCCCCCTCTAGTGGTGGCTGAGCCACAGAGAGATGTTAATGAGCCAGCTACAATGGGAGCTCCGGTACTAGCAGCTCACACTTTAAGATCCAGAAGCGGGAAGACTGATCCCCCATCCAGGGGCACAGCCGTACACTAGCACATAATACTTACATTTAAAAAAAATTCCGGGTCACTTCCCCGGTACTGGGAAGGAAGACAAAGGAGCGTCAGGAAGATCAAAAGGCTGATGGAATGAGAAACCAGACCTCAGATGATCATATTCACTTTCGCAAGACTGGATCCACCTTTCGGGACAGGCCAACCCTGACCAATTACTCTACATACTTCCATCCACGCCCAGTGACAGGCTGAGCCAGAAACAGTGAGAGATGAAACTTAGTTGGTGCTTACCGGGCAAGGTAGATGGTATGAAGAGTGAAGGGAATGAGAGAGAGCAGTTAGGGCAGCAGACAGGGCACCAGGACACCTGGGTTCTCTTCCTGACCCTGCCACAGGCTCCCTGTGTGACTGGGGGGAAGTCACTTCCCCTCCCTGTGCCTCAGTTTCTCCATATATAAAACGGGGATACTGATACTTGCCTGCCTCACAGAGGCGAGGCTTAATTCACTAATGTTTGAAGAGTGCATTGAGGCCTAGAGAGGAAAGGTGCCAGAGAAGCAGACTTTGCCTTGATTCTTTCTATCTCTTCTCTCATACAGGTGTGGCTTGATGCTGACGTTGACCACTAACCTAGCCGTGTGGATGTCGGCCGTAACGGACGAGTCCGTGCATAAAGCACACACAAAATTCCAGAACTTAACAGAAGGAACACACAGATGGATCATGAAAGGTAATTTGTCCATTAGTAAAGCCAGCTAATTCTGGAGTTGAGGCTACGGCGTTAGAGGCCTTTCTCTGGATCAGATTCATTGATGAATGAATACAAGGGGACGGCTCAGCGTAAGGTGCTATCTTGCGTGAGTAGGGGTATTCCAATCTGGACCTTAGCATTTGTGTCTTGCTTTGTGTCCAGCAGGAGTCATGGGGATGGAGGGAGAACCTAGAATGAACCGAGGAGGAGGAGGGGAGAGGAGGAAAAGAAAAGGAAAGAGAGAGAACGAAAGAAAGAACCAGGGCGGGAGAGGCGAGGGAGGAAGAAGGGATTCTAGACAGGCCCAGATGAGAGAAGGATGTTCACTAAACCCATTGTTTGACAAAGGGGAAAGCAATTCCGAAGGGCAGAAACCAAAGGGAGGCTGAGGTTTCAATGGGTGGATTCTCAGTGTCCAGGCAACCCTGGGTCTCGGGGTCATGAGATCTACTTGTACCTTTGGTCCTGCATTTTAGTGACTGTGATTCTCCAGAGTGAGGCTCTTCAGGACTGTTAACAAGTGCTTGTTTCCTGCAGTAACGATGTAACACGTATGTGTTTTTCCTGTTCCAGCTGGAACGGCAAGTGGCTCAACAGAAGGCTGTAGCTGTAACACCCAAATTTGCCAGATCTTCCAGAGTGGCTATTTTTGGTTGTATCCCTTCAACATTGAGTACAGTCTCTTTGCCTCTGCCATGCTGTATGTGATGTGGAAGAATGTTGGACGCCTCATAGACCACCACACTCACCACATCCACCAGCTGAAGTTCAGGCTCTTCAGAAGGACCTTCTTTGTGGGCATCGTTTTGGGGCTGTTCATACTGGTGAGTGGCCTGGCTGTCCTTATTGTTTATGAGGTGCAGGTGAATAGCAGCGGCCAGCCAGACAAGAAGAACGAAGCACTCATCATGTATTACACCTTCAACATAGTTTGCCTGAGCCTGATGTCTCTTGTCTGCATCGGAGGTTCCATTGTCTACAGGTTTGATAAGAGAGACATGGACCACCACAAGAATCCAACCAGGACTTTGGACATGGCCTTATTGCTGGGGGCTGCCTTGGGGCAATATGCGATCTCCTATTACTCCATTGTGGCTGTGGTGGCCAGCACTCCAAGGGATGCCATAAGTGCCCTCAACTTGACCTACTCACTGCTGATGATCGCCCAGCACACCTTCCAGAACATCTTCATCATCGAAGGCCTTCATCGGCAGCCCCCAGAAGATGACCACAAAATTCATCCTCACCGGAAGGACCTATATGGACTCACCTTTGTCAACATCAATGCCGTATCCCTCCGCGTCCCCGAAAGCAGCAGTGCCCTGCCATCCCCCTTGCCCCACGGTCAAGGTGCGGTAGCGATCCAGACTTCAGATGTGGTGCAGTCCATAATGGTCCCCAAGAAGGTGAAATGGAGGAGGAAGTTCCTAAAGGAGATCTCCTTGTTCCTGCTCCTCTGCAACATAATTGTAAGTGACAATCAGAAAAGGATTTTTTGGAGGGTGGGTGGAGGGCAGGGGGTCATGTCCAAGAGGATGTAGTCTAAGGAAAATGTTCCTTTTTCTTACCTTAAATCTCTCACTTAAATCAGAAGTAGCTGCATTGAAGTCAGTGGAGTTATTGGAGAACATTCTCTGCTGGTGTAACTAGGCACAGCTCCCTTGATTTCAGTGGCATTTTGCCCATTTATGCCAGCAAAGAACTGAGCCCCTAACATTGTACAATTGGTGCGAAGGAGAGGAGAATCGGGCCCAATATTTTTTCATTAGGCTTAATCCTTTGATGCTACATTTTTAATGTAGGGAAAAGGCATCTAGAGCCCGATCTAAGCCATTTTCTTATACGTTAGACAGCAGAAGACGTGATGTCTGGTGATCAGTAGTTAAATAGCATGGGTGAAATCCTGGGTCCACTAAAGCCAATGGCAGAAGTTCCATTGACCTCAGTGGGGCCAGAATTTCACCCAGGGGTCAAATTGTACTCTCAGGATCTCTATTGGCAGGTGTATCTCAGAGAAGAGTCTAGCCCCAGATAGCTTCACTTAGAAACCTGCTTTTTATTAGCAATTACACTTGATTTTCACACGCTTTTCATTGCAAGCCCTAAGGGAAGCCAATTAAATGTAGCGTGACTCCCCCATGTTTTGAAGGCATTTTTGATTTACAGGAAAACTGTGGAGGAAATACACATCTTTCATAGGACCTACGGCTTCCGAACAAACCAGGCACAGATGATTTAGCTAAAGAGCCTCCAACCCTATAGGTCTTTTTCTGTCTCTAATATGGTCCTGAATTTAGAAGATTTATCCCTTCTCTTCTCTCTGACTCTTCTGCCCTTTGAAGCCCTTAGCAGCAGCTGCAGCTACTCACCACATCCCCTCCCTCTCATTGAGACTGTCACGTTTGTTTCCCACCTCCAAACAGCTCTGGATCATGCCAGCGTTCGGCGCCCGGCCACAGTTCGACAACGACAAGGAACTCAACTTCTACGGCTACTCGATGTGGCCTGCCATTGTGGACATTTGCCTGCCCTTCGGGATCTTCTACCGCATGCACGCAGTGGCCAGCCTGCTGGAAGTCTACATCATGTCTTAAAAGGAAGAACACCTGCTCTATCAACCCACCTTTCCCGCCCCGGGACTGAAAGTCTGAGCGGCTGTACTGAAGGGTTTGGGGGTTGCATGCATCTCACGCCCTAGCGATGACAGGGCATTATTGCACCGCCGTGGAAATAATCCACTCATAGTCCCAGATGTTGTTTTCTACTCATGTGTGAGTGCGTGTGCTTGATTTCAATTATTGCTTTAAGTTCTAAGGCTTTTAGAAAAGTGGAACGTTTACAAAGTAGGGCAATGAAAAACACGTGCGGTCCATTCAAATTGATACCTCTTCCTACTAAGGGCCTGAGCCTGCCGACTGCTCCCAATGCCATTGACTTCATTCTCCCAGGGGGGGGCCGGTACCTTGTCAGAGCCCATCTATGTGCAGGCTGAATCCCGTTTGCTTTAAGAGACCCATTGGCTTCAATGACATAACTCAGGCGTGTAAGGCAAACGGGACACAAAGCTACATCCCACCACTGGGAGCTCCATTGCAAAGGAGAAGAATCAAGTGCACAGACGTGAAAACTGAACTGGTGAATGTTGAAGGCTTTTGGAATCACGTTAGAATTCTCTTCTCCCCGCTACCCGACCACGGTCCTGACGGCTTCGCAATACTGTCCTTGGTCACATCCCCTTTCTCCTCATTGAGACTGTATAGCTGCTGATCAGCCAAGGCCCAGAATGACTGAAAGCATCCTTATTCAGGACAGCGCCTACGCATGTGCTGAATTCCCACTGAAGTCAACGGGCCCTTAGCACATGGTTAAGTGCTGTCGTGAATAGGAATACACTTAAGCACGTGTTTAAGTTCTTTCCTGAATCAGGGCCGACGGTTAATTCTATTACGAGAATTAAAAGGGTTTTTTAAATAGTGTAATGATTTTTTTAAAAACATATGAACTTATTTTATATAAAAAAAATTATTTATTGATTTTCAGTGTAACAATGAATGGCTAAAGGTTCACAGGGCCACACAATGCACACATTGGAGATCCAATTCATTCTACAGGCCAGCTTTCCTGACCTTAGATGAACACTCAGGGCTGCCAGTGATTTCATTTGTACACCTGTGCATCAGAGAGTGGAACTGATCCATATGGTATCTGCCTAACCTGAAGCAAGCCTCAAGAACTCTAAATAGGCCATGCTTCATTTGGCTGGTGCAAATAAGTATCAACAAATGAGTCAGCATGGCACAGCTCAATGTCTCTCTCTTACAAAGTTATGTTTACAGAGGAAAGAAATTTCATTGTACTGAAGAGGAAAATTGCAGAGCTGATGAAAATTAACAATCATTTCCCGAGGCTGTTTGTATATTTCTCAAATAAAAGAATAAATGAAAATCATGCTACTTTACTGAGCAGAGTTTCTTTTTCACCAGCCAGCTGGAGCCACGTGGAGGTTCGGCCCACGTAACACCAGAGTGAGAGGGAAGAACAAAGATTTTGAGGTGGTTGAAACATTTTGCCCCCAAAAAAGAGTTCACATTTCAAAAATTCATAGATTTTGAGGCCAAAAGCGACCATTAGCACATCTAGTCTGACCTCCTGTTTATTGCAGGCCATAGGATTTCACCATTTACCTCTCTATGGAGTCCATTAACTTGTGTTTGACAAAAGTTGATCTTCCAGAAAGGTGTGCAGTCTTGATCTGAAGACATCAAGAGAGAGATAATTCACCACTCCCCTTGGTACTTTGTGCCAATGGTTAATCATCCTCACTCGTTAGAACAGGGGTTCTCAAACTGGGGGTTGGGACCCCTCAGTGGGTCATGAGGTTATTACATGGAGGGGTCGCGAGCTGTCCACCTCCACCCTAAGCCCTGCTTTGCCTCCAGCATTTATAATGGTGTTAAATATATTAAAAAGTGTTTTTACTTTATAAGGGGGGGTCACACTCAGAGGCTTGCTGTGTGAAAGGGGTCACCAGTACAAAAGTTTGAGAGCCACTGGGTTAGAATGTGTGCCTTATTTCTAATTTGCATTTGTTTGGCTTTAACTTCCAGCCATTGGTTGCTTTTCTTTTAGTCTTTTTATTAAGGCAAAGTTACCCTAAAATGTTAGCCTACTACATCGTATATTACCTGTTCAGGATCAGGTTAATATTCAAAGAACCTGGCTAAAGATTCTGACTTGCTGGCTGGGGAGCCCTCTTCTAAATACCCTTCCTCTTTTTAGTTTTCTTCTTGTGTATGTACTTGGTGTGAAAGCTTTTCCATTACAAGAACAGCCTGTATTTTACTACACCACAATTCCATAGGGTGGAGGTGTCACATTTTTCCAATAATTTGCAATACAGAGTCTAGCTGCTAACAGTGAAAATGAAATTCATTGGTCGTTCGGTTAAAATGCAGATCCTTTCCTAGATCATTAAGCAAGCAGGTCAGGGAGGGATCTCCCAGCCATTGGTTCTTGTAATGCCTTTCTCCACTACGCTCAAAGCCCATTCAAACTTTTTTAAGACCAGCTCTTCAGAGGTTACAAATTAACATGCAAGAGAAACAAGTGAATGAACTGGGAACTGGCTGGACAAAAGAAAAACTAGCCAGAATCTTAAGTTCTCCCTCTGAAGAATTTACTCCTGCTGGTGAATTGTACTTTTCTTATTATTTGCCATCAGAACATGTTACCCTCTGTCAAGATTACAGGGCTAGCTATAACTCTGATCCCTCTCTGGTCTCTCTAAGTCCACCCCCACAGGTATCTGGACCCTCACTTTCCACTCTCTTTGGGCTACAGAACCCTGTGCATCAACCATACTTACCCAACAGGTCCGAATGAATTCAGGTACTTGCATTTCTTCCCTTCAGGAGTTGTCACCAATGGTGTATAGACTTAAACAAATGTATTGTTGATTTTAACCACAGGAACACAAAGCATAACATAAGAGAAAAAGGATTTTAAAACAACAAAAGATCTACACTCCTCTATCTTAACTACAGTCCTAGGCACTGGCAGACCCTAACCTCTGGGGGCCTGGGTCTCAAATCATCAATTTTTTCAAATCAAAATGTTTGCAACACTAAGATATTTATACGTTCCCCATTAGTAGCAGAGCACCTCACAGTCTTTAATGTATTTATCCTCACACCATCCCTGTGAGGTGGAGCAGAGCTATTAACACTATTTTACAGAGGGGAAACTGAGGCACCTGTGGCTAAGTGACTTGTTAAGATCACGCAGGAAGTCTGTGGCAGGGCAGAGACTTATACCTAGGTCTCCTGACCAGCATGTTAATCTCTGGACCAGCCTTTCTTTCATGGTATCTCAAAGTAAAGCCATTTTGGAAGGAAAAGAAATCAGCTCTCCATTAGGGGCTGCAGCTCCTGGCAGCATAGATAGAAGATAACTAAACGTCTGCATGGGACACAAACCAAACAACTATCACATCAAACAAAGAGTCCAGTGGCACCTTAAAGACTAACATTTATTTGGGCATAAGCTTTCGTGGGTAAAAAACCCACTTCTTCAGATGCATGGAGTGAAAATTACAGATGCAGGCATTATTATACCCTAACCCTAAGCCCAAATTGATGGTGTTAAATTTGCAAATGTTATAGACTAGGACACTCGATAACAGATTTAAAAGTAGCCATACTTGGACAAAAAAACTTCAGAAACAGACTTCAAAGAGAAACTGCAGAACTAAAATTCATTTGCCAATTTAACCCCATCAATTTGGGCTTGAACGGGGACTGGGAGTGGCTGGCTCACTACAAAAACAGCTTTCCCTCTCCTGGAATTGACACCTCCTCATCAACTATTGGGAGTGAACTACGTCCACCCCGATTGTTATTGCCCCCCACCCCCGTCAACACTGGTTCTCCACTTGTGAGGTAACTCCCTTCTCTTCATGTGTCAGTATATTTATGCCTGTATCTGTAATTTTCACTCCATGCATCTGAAGAAGTGAGGTTTTTTACCCACGAAAGCTTATGCCCAAATCAATCTGTTAGTCTTTAAGGTGCCACCGGACTCCTCGTTGGTTTTGTGGATACAGACTAACACGGCTACCCCCTGAGACTTGACATCCAACAAAGCAACTCGAGAGCTGCAGGAGAACAGGGACAAAGCTGGAGCCTCACCCTTACGATTCGGTTGCTAAATGCAGAGTTAGGAACCTAAATAAAAGGAGCCTGGTTTTCAGTGGTGCTGAGCGCCAATGCACTCCCATTGGTGTCAGTGGGGTTTGTAGGAGCTCAGCACCTCTGAGAAGAAGGCCACTATTTAGCCTGAATTTGGGTTGAGGGGCCCAGGTTCACTCGTGTTTCAGTTTGGATCTGGATTTCACAGCTGGGCCCTTCCCCAGTCACCAGCTCCAAGTCCAGACACCCCTGAATTCTGAGGAAGGCCCCATCCAGACGTAGAGCTGGGTTTGATGGCTTCAGCCCAGCTCTACCCAAACCTGAAAGTCCCACCCAGGTCTAATTCAAATCCAGGTGCCAGGAGAGGACACGAGTCCTGAGCCATCAAACGCACAAAAGCCATGACCTTTCACCATGTAGGTACACAGCGAGGGAACCAATCTAACAAACAGCCGGAGATAAGAAATCGCTTTATGGCAGGTGAACAATAGGGAGAGGAAAAGGCTGTGAATAGGGCCCGACCTGAGTCATGGTGTTGCGGATACAGAGAAACTGTCCCTCTTCCCTGATTTCTGAACCATTCCTTGTTCCCAAGGTCAGTTTTTGATTTAGTCGAAGGTTAGGCAGTGGGAGGGGGAGATAATCAACTGTTGACCGAACAGTTCAGCAGCTAGGTGGGAGATATGTCCAGTCCACTGGCCATGGAAGAGGTCAGCTTCTCAATGCGCGCAGGGAGGGGGGGAGTTGTCAGGTTTGAAGGTTGGGAGAGTGGGGTCGGGGCAGGGTGCTTGTTGAGGGCTGAGGGGTTGGATGTTTGCTGGGGAGGGGGTGGCAGCTGGGAGAGGAATTCACCAAGGGGCTGTAGGTGAGAAGATTCAGCTGCTTGTGGTGGGGGAGAGACCAGGTTGGGTCTTTGCTGAGGGGTGGGGAAATCAGGTTGGCTGCTTGCTTGTGGACAGGTGGGAGCCAGAGGTGAGGCTTGGTTCTTGTTGAGGACTGGTTGGGGGGGGAAGAGGGGCAACTCCAACACTGGGCCACTGCCCAGTTATTTTTGCCCAATAAGTTGGTTGGCTCCCCCGCCTTCCGCTGCAGCGAAGGGAAGGGCGCATGGAGAGTTCTCTGGGGCAAATGGCACAAACTGGGAGAGGCGGCCATCATCGGAGAGCCTCAATCACCTTATCACACCAGATAACTGCCAATTAGTTCCACGCTGAGACGTCATCCTGGGGCATTTATCTGTGGAGGGAAGGGTGTGGGGCTGTACTGTGGAGTGTCTTAGGCAACAGGCATTCCACAGAACCCTCTTGGACAAACACCAGAGCTTGGCCTCCTACTGTCTTGCCTCTGATTTACAGTTTGACTATGCAGATAGTCTCAGAGACAGCCCGTAGCTTTATTAATGCTGAGTGCACACAGAAAGCTGTTAATCAGAATGCTGCAGATAATGGAGGGGGAGAGGTTATTTCTGGTATTAATGACTTTGATTCAGCCCGGGAGCAAAGAAAGCCGTCTCTATGCTAGAAAACTGCACCTGTTTAATGAAATGGACTTAAAAACTGAACTCATTAATCCGGTGCAACCCCCAATGTAGACGCACTTAAGTTGGTTTAACCCTGGCTTGTATCGATTCAACTTGCATCAATCCATTTGAAAGCTAGGGGAGATATAGTTAAAGAGATGCGCTTTTCAACATATACAAGGCCAGAAGCTCAGGGTTAAGCAAAGGTGAACCAGTTGGGTTTCAGAGTTTGTAAACGCCCAGCATTTTTCAAGTGTTGAGTTTCATGAAACACTTTTGAATACTGTGAAACCTTTTTTTTTTTTAAACCTTAAATTATTATTCCTCAAGGGAACTTTATTTACTTCTTTTCCTTCCCTGGGGAGTGTTCAGATCTGGGGGGTTGATCTGGTCTATTTGAGAGGCTGATCACCCAGTTTCAATCCCCATCCAGGCTTCCCCAAAGCTGCGGGGAGGGTAGAATTTGGAGCGCTGGTTCTAAAAGTAGAATCTAGGATTTCAGCAAAGCCAGTTCCCATCTTTCTGCCCAGGAGATGCCCACACCCAGCTGCAGAAAACCTAAGCCTAAGGTTTTAAAATCCACAGGAGGGCTCCCAATATTGCACCAAGTGCTCTGGGAAGAAGATTCCAGGTTTGTTATTATCCTACCCGGAAATCTGTTTTTTTCTGTTAAATATATAGGCTACCAAATGGCATCTTGGGGTAGCCCAGTGGCCTGCTAAGCTCTAAAATGGGCATTAGGAAAGGAGCTTGATTGCCTATCTAAAATGTTGATTGCCCATACATAAGACATGCCATACCAGAACACACAGTGGTCCATCTAGCCCTGTATCCTGCTCTGGCAGTGGCCAGCACCAGATTCTTCAGAGGTAGGTGCAGGAAACAGTGTAGTGGATAGTGATGAAATAACTTGTTGATAGGGGAAATCTTCCTAATCCCACCTCCCCATCAGTTACTGGCTGGTTTATGCCATGAAGCATGATGGTTTATAACATGCAATAATATCTTAAAATGCCACTCCTAGGACAGAACTTTGGGGCACTTCCACTCTTGTTTTTTTGACAAATAAATAATTCCTGTCCTTGTTTTCTGTGCCTTAGCCAGTTTCTGATCCAGGGCAGTACTTTGCATCTCACCCCATGTCTCCTTCCATTCCTTATCAGTCTCTTACGGGGGACTTTGTGACTCAGAACTCAAGTATGTTGTAAAAGTGACAAACCCAGAGCTGCAACGCTAGACATTTCTGTTCTTAATAACCTCTCTCCCGGTGTCATTACACCTGTATCTGCACCCCATTGCACTTGGACTTTCAGGGAACACAAACTCAGCTAAGAACAGTACAGTATTGTCCCTGGCTTCCAACCAAAAACAGAGGTCAGCTCACGTTTGCCAAAACTATTCCAGTGGCCTAAAGAAACTCACCTTCAGTAGGGCTGGGAGCATACAGCAGACTGAGAACAAGCATTGTAAAGCTCAGATCAAGATGAGCCCAAAGCACACTTGAGGATCTGAACACCCCAAAACTTTGTGCTATTGGAAATTCAGATGTGGTTCTGAATTCTTCCTTTGGAGCCCATCTCTCATGGCAGGCAGTGATACGGGTAACTAATCTTCAGGTACTCCTGTGGTTCGGTTTGGAGATGCGCCTAAGAGTTTGCGTGTTTATCTGATCATATGTCTAGCCATACTGGGCTAAACACCTCTCCTGACCACCATCTCCCAGGATTCACCACGGCTCCTCCTGCTTCTGGCAAGCTTGGAAATACCTTGAGACCAGTTTTTTCCATTCTGAGCCAGAACCTCAGCCGGTACAAACTGATGTAGCGCCATTGATTTGAAGCTGAGGATCCGGCTGTGTATCCCAGCCTTTCCGCTTCCGGAACCCAAGAGAACAGCTCAGAGACGTGCAAACAGGTGTCTAAAACCCCTCACACTTTGCAGACTCGGGGAAAACGAGTCCTGGATCCAAACTCACAAAAGCCACTTCCCTTTTGGCCTGTTTCTCCAGAGAGGCTCAGAGAAAATGAAAAATGGTGGGGGGGGTGCAAAGAGATCCAAACTTTTTTTTTTTTGAACTTCAAAACCAGTTCAGCTGAGGTTCATGTTGAGACCGGGGAGAAAGCTCCGGTTGTTTTAGCCAGGCCAGTTTGCCCATCATCCCCCACCTGGAGCTCCCTCGAGTGCATCAGTGAGGGAGAAGTGGCTTTCAGACACCGCGGAGCTTCAAAAGGCATTAGTCACTACGGCTTGCGGTTTTCACCAGTCAGCACATCCTGTGCAGAGAACTAACAGGCAGTTGACATGGGCTGGCCAGGCAGGTGTTTAAGAGGGTTGATTCCTATTGGCTGCCCTCTGCCGAGCTAATGAACCTCTCAGCGAGGTCATTAATATAATGACAATAATATTCCAAAAGTAAACAGGCAAAAATCAATGCGCTGTGAGAGCCCAGGTTACACTTTCCAGTTGGCAGCCCTTGTCTGCCTGCCGCAGCTCTTCAGAGAAGCCTGGAGAGGGCCGGGGCCAAACAGCAGTCATTGCGGGGCAGGGGTGTGTGTGTGTGTGATTTTAGCTTTGCGTGCCTGGAGAATGTAAAACGGGTCCTACCAGTTGCTGCTTCCACCCTGCGGATCTCACCAGCCCGTGTGGAGGTAAGAACGTATCAGAGAGCTCTGGCCAGTCTGGACGCCTCTTCTCGGCTTCTCCTTTCTCTGGCTCACTCCTGGGGATCGGCGGAAAGGTTGGACGTGGAGGCCTGGGTCTGGGACCATGTCCCCCGCAAAGCCAGGGTGGATTTATCAGCCCCCTGACAAAGTGAGGGGTTGGGTTTTTCTTCTAACGCTGTGGATCCCTTTCGATCAGAATGAGATTTGCCCAGTGAGCAAGCCCCTGCCCGCCCAGGGATCTGCTTTCCCCTGGTGTATTTAAGCTGCTTGGAGCAGCTGAATCAGCCTGGGTCCATTGCTTGGAAGACACTTCGTGTGTGTATAAATTACCCCACTAACAGAGCAAATCATGCTGGGTCTTTTAGGATCTAGCAGGGTCTTTTCACCTGCTTTGAACAGAACATTTTCTTAGCCCTCAAGGGCTGTATCGTAAGATCTCATTTAAGCACCATTTTAAACATCATTTGACTGCATTGTCTCTGCCTCGGAGGCTGTTCTTCTCCCACGATTCTTGCTGTAAACTACAGCTAGGTCCAAACTGAAAAGTGCCCTGAAGTTTGGGCGTGCTCAGACCTGCGGGGGTTGATTTGGGACTCTCTCTGTTCAAAATCCACCATCTCCTAGGGACAAGCTCCAGGTATTTATTCTACCATCTCCCACTGCATTTCGAGGGGGGAGGGAGAAGAGTCTTCCGGCTCTGCCTCCTTCCTGAGATATGACTTGGGGGTGGGATGGAGGGAGTGGGCAGTCAGGAGCTTTTGCTGGCAAACCGGTGCAGGCCCGGGCAAGTCTCACACACCTTTGAAAGTCCCAGTTCTGCTTTATGCTCCTCATACACATGCAGGCTTGTTGTCTCATGCATTCAATAAGAATAGCATGGTGTAATTGTTGGCAGAGATGGGCCTCAGTTGAAATCTCACAACCAGATAGCCCTGAACTTTGGAGAAGTTCTGATCCGGATCCAAAACTTTGCGGCCGATCTAGATACTTATCATGAAACAAGCTGAAAACCTGGATGCAGAGTTGGACTTGGAAGAAGTCTAGGGAGCAGGGTGTGAATAGTGCTCCCTGCCTTTGGTACCCCACCCCAATACCTCAAGGTACCTTAACCAACAACAAAAACTTCAGCTTGTCTTGGGAGGATTTATGTAGATAAATTGTGCCAGGGATTAAGCTGAGACCACCAAACTCATCTCACGTGTGACTATCTCCATGTGAAGCCAAGTGGCTCAGTATGTAAACAGCAGCAGCCCCTAACATCCTTTCCATCGGTGCTCTTATTAATCCCCATTTGTTTAATCACACAGGGGATCCCAGCGTGAACTCTTCTTCCCACCAGACCGCAGAAAATCATGGCTGCTGAGATGGCCGGCAAGGAAGCTACACGGCAGAGACACCTTAACCAGGATACTGATGGCGAAGAGTCAGCGTCAGCAGAGCCCGAAGCCTGGAAGATCCGCTACGAGAAGTGCTGGCTGCACCGGTGCTGCTCCTCGCTGCTCCACAAGGACAGGCAGGCTCGGAAGGCCGGGCAGCTGTTCTCAGGGCTGCTGGCCATGAACGTGGTGTTTCTGGGCTGCGCCTTCATAAGCAGCATGATTTTCAACAGGGTGGCGATTACCTTGCGCGACGTCGGGATCTTCCTCTCCATCCTCAAGATTCTGTCTCTCTGCTGGATCATTTACTACTTGCTGTGTACCAGCAGGAAGCCCCATGCTGTGCTGTACAGGGACTCCCATGCCGGGCCAGTCTGGGTGCAGGGTAAGTGCTGCACACAACCCTCTTACCTTTGTTCAGTGCCTCGCACTCAGACCACTTTACACACAAGGGACCACTTCACCCACCATCAAAATGCTGCCACCTCTGGCACGGCAACCCAGCATTTCCTACCGGTTAGAGCACAGGGAATGAGGCGATCTGGGCTGCCTGCCACTGTCTCAAGCTGTGACCTTGGGCAAGTCACTTCATCTCTCCCCCCACCCACCGCCGCCCTTCACCTCCATGTCTCAGTTTCTCCATCTGAATGACTGGGGTCATACGACTTCACTGCCACCCAAGGGTGCTGGGAGGCTTCAGGTCCTGGATGTTTGTCAAGTGCTTTGAGACCCTCTGATGAAAAGACACTAGGGAAGCACCAGGCTGTTGTTCTAAGACCAGGAGCCCAAGACTCCTGCATGCAGCTGGAGCTCCGGGAGGAATTCAGGACAGCAGGGTGTAACTGTCCACCTTGGAATGTAGCCAGGAAACCAACCACATCATCCTTCCTCTTGCAAAGCGAGAGCCTGGGGACCTCGCGGGGGTCTACACTGCAATTCAACACCTGCGGCTGGCCCGCATCAGCTGACTGGGCTAGCAACGTTCAGGCTACAGGGCTGTAAGATTGTGATGTCCATGTTCAGGATCCGGCTGGAACCCAGCGTCTGGGACTCTCCCCATTCACAGGGTCTATGCTGCAATTTCATAGCCCCACAGCTTGAACCAGAATCAGCTGCAGGTGTTTAATTGCAGTGTAGATGTATCTTTAGTGATCACAAATGGGACGGACACCGTTATAGCTAACAGCAGCGTACTGTCCGCCCCTTCATGCCATGCTGGCATACTGGCTCATACTGATTCAAAAGGGAAGATTTCTGCTTAGCAAATCCCCTTCTTGCAGCACCGGGGTTTTCCTCGTGGAGCTCCCAGCCAAGTGCTGACCAGCCCAGCCCGCTTTAGTTGATGAGATGACACATCCAAATCGCTCTGTCCTTGGTTTATTAGGGCCTTTAATTACTACACTGGCTCAGGAGTAAAATGAAGCTCTAAGGGCCAGATTTTCAAAGGGTATTTATGCACTTAACAATGCAGTTAGGTGCCTAGGGGGATCCTTAGAAGCCCCTAACCGAGTTAGACACCTACCTCCCCTTAATTTCAATGGGAGTTAAGCAAGTTAGATTGAAATCAGTGGGAGCGAGGGACCAAGCTAGAGCTGAGACACATTTTTTGGCCAAATAATTTAGTTTATTTGGCCAAAAAATGCGGTTTCGGGGTTGGCTGAAGCTATTCGTGAAATTGAGTCGAATTTAACACGTAGTTCTGGAAGGAAAACAAAAAGTCCAGATGTTTTGTTGCAACGTTTTCAGAACTAACCACTTTGATTTTTTTTTTTTATCTCCAAATGACGTTTCATTCGGAAGCTGACCCAGGTTTTTTAAAAAACAGAAGAAAAGGGTTCAAACACTTGAAAGCCAAATGAACACATGAAAGACGGTTTGTTCCAAGTGAAATTGAAACAAAAACATTTTAAAAAAAATGTTTGGTTCAACCACCAAACTGAAAACTCAGTTCTTCACTCAGCTCTCCACCTAAGCTGCTGAGAAGCCCAGTAGGTGCCTCTCTCCATCCTTAAACACCGAAACAGCTTTGAAAAGTTGACCCTCCAAGCTTTACTGAGCGATATCCAGCGCAGCTAGATTTTTACCCAGAAATCCTCACGCCCAGTGACCTAGTCTCTAGTGCAGCACCTTGTGCAAAACGGGATGAATTCCACCTCCCACACATGTGTAATCCAGGTGAATGGCGTGCGTTGTTCAAGTAGCTTAATTAGAGACTGAGCCAGTATTGCCAAACCCAAATGTTCAAAAATCGTGATTCAGGGATCCTCACCCCACCCCGCAGACAATCATGGGATTTTCAAATTTTCCCAAATTTCAGGGCACCTGGATCCAGGATTTGAATTCGGGCCCACCCCCGAAGTTCCAAAACTAGAACTCTCCCAGCCCCACCGAGCGCAGGAAGCATGAAAGCAGGAGATGTGGTGATGGTTACTAAACCTGCACCACTTTCAGCTTACTCTATGCATGGACCCTTACTCATTTGGTTCGCTGATGGTTTTACTGTTTGGACAGGGTCTCTAGTGCTGTTTGGAGCCTGCACCATCATCCTGCAGGTGTTCAGGATCGGCTACATTGTCAGCCACAACCATTGCAAATCCCACCTGGAAACCCTGTTCCCGTGCATAGAAATCATCTTCGTTTGCATTCAGGTACGGAACGTCATCTTCTCTGGAATCCAGTCACTCTGCCATATAGCTGGGAGGCAGGGAAGGGAGGGAGAGAGAGCTCAGAGGTGGGGGTTTCTTGTTAAAGGTATTTTTAGTATCAGTTATTGTTTTAAATACCAAACCACATACAGTGCCAATACATGTAGCACAAATAGTAGTCAAAGACATAAAAATAAAACAAAATCATTACTGTGATAAAAGACAATAAATCGATCATGGAATTTAGCGGAAGTTCTCCTGCTGCCTTCTGCAAAGTCAGTAAAGAGACAGAGATAAGTGAAAATCTGGTACATTACCCCTCACCAGCCCAGACAGCTGTCTCTGTACTAACGTCCCCCAGGAAGCTTTTCCATTTGAAATCAGGATTTCTCTCTGTTTGCAATTGCCAAACCCTAATGGCAAAATCAATTGCCCATTTAAATTATTTAGATGTGCTTTGCAACCAGAAGTTCATAAATTATGACATCTCTGTGAGCTAAAACCATAGACGCAAATTCCCCAGATTCTATCAGATGCAAACTCCTGTGCCTAGCAGAGCGAATGGAAATGTATTTTCAAGTCTCTCTTTTCGGATTAGATTCATACGTACATGCGCCCTCACATTCACACACGTACACAGTTACACGTTAGCCAGACCTATGGTACAGCTGTGCTGCATGCTTCCTTTGGCGGCATGTTACATACCTGTGTAGCCCCCCTAGCATGGGTATAAATAGCAGGGTGACCGTGAGGCACAGCTTAGGCCAGTAAAAACACCCCTGAGAGTGCAAACCCTACACGTTCTCTAGTCTGCCTTCCTGTTTACATTGCTATTTTTAGCAGTGGAGTGTCTGCAGCCTCCCTCCTGCTGGAGCCTTTCCCCACTGCAGGGAAAGGCTCCAGCCAGGGGGTTTCCAGGTTGCTTCCTCCCCACCAGAGCCTTTCCTCACCTAATGAAAGACTCTGGCAGCAGGGAGCTGCTGAAGCCTTCTTCCACTGCCAGAGGCTTCCACCGATGCATGTTGTTCCACACTACTACAAGTGTGGACACATCCCTGCTTTTCACTGTGCGTGTAGCTACACGTACACCACAAACCTCCAGCACGGGTGTGTAGTGTAGATGTAGCCAGATATGTTCCCCCCTGCATTGATAGGTATTATGCGCATGGTATTAATACTGTGTATGTTATTCTCAATATTAATGTTGGGCAGTTCTGCTAACTGACTCGTATTCAGCTCACTTCTGTCATGCTATCTATCTATCTACCCCACAATGCTCTGCCAATCTAAACGTCGCTTTTGGCATTAGCAAATAGGAAACCTGTCAAGGACAAGATACCCGAACGGTGCGTCCTAGTACAGGCTGTATTGTGACTCCACGGCCCCTCCTAGCCTTTGGAATGTGGGATCCAAAACAAAAGATAAGGCAGGAAGAGGTTAATACAGAACAACAGGGTAAAAAGCTGACTGGTGGGTTTTAGTTTTGGGTGCTGTATAAAGTGCTTTTCGTTTGTAAACCAGACGATAAATATGGCCAATTGAAATGCCTACTTCGGAGCACCCCTTCTGGGTAAGGTGAACTGCAGGCGGTCAGAGAGCTGCTTCCTGGAAAGAGCAGAGCAGAAGGTATTAAAAGGCTCCGCTTGGTTATTTGGTCTCTTGAATATTATTTTCAATATCAAACCGCTAGTGTAGTCAAGCAGCTGGCGGCACTTTAGACAACACCTGTTTGCCCACATGCAGATGCTGCAAAATGGATGCGTATGCACACATGAGCTCAAGCACTCCTGCGCCCGTTCCCACTCAGACGCTTGCATTTGCACAGGCTCCCGCTCACACACATCTGCACTCGCACCTGTTGCCAGGTTGACAATAGGTTCATTTGATTGTTTCTGTTGCTTTCAGACGTACTTTTTATGGCGCCACTGTAAGGACTGTACCCAAGTCCAGCACAACCTCACCAGGTAGGACGAGAGAAGGAGGGGCCTTGTTTAATAGCCCTTCATATTACTTTGAACACTCCCATACCAGGCCTTTCTGACTCCACTTTCCCTTCCTCAGCAGCCCTCCCAGGGGCGCCTTATAATCTGCATTTCAGCTTTAAAGATCTTTGTTTCTTAAAACTGAAGGATTTTATATTTAAATGCAAGGCAGATCAATTTGTCACTCTTTCAAACAGGCCTCGGATGGGCTTTGCCTTCTGAGCCATCTTCTTGTTTGGTCTGTGTGGCATCAACCGGTTTGATTTCCTAATCCCATCTCCAGTCCACTTGAATTTCCTCAATGGAGGATAATGACCTAGTCAACATGAATAGGAGGTTGTGGATTACAGTGGAGAGGCACAATCCTTGCAGGTAGACATATAAAACTGCAGGACCCACATTAGAGCAGACATCCATGCCAGTGCTGGGGGCCAGCGGGATTACTGCCAATTCCACCAAGCAGGAAAATTCATCTTTAAAGGATGAGAGATTTCACAAACCAACCCCCAACCTCAAGACTCTTTCTACTGCACGTGCTTGCTGAGGCACTAGGTTTTGACTTGACCTCACCCATTTTCATTACGTCTACATGGTTTAGTCAGCTTTCTTCCGGCCATCACATGTTCCTGTGACAGCTGCAAGCCCCAGTGGGCCCCTTGCACAGTTCGCAACTGATTTAAGAGTTCAGGTGTAAGTCTAGTGGACGTGAGAACCTGTGCAAATTACTGCAAGTGGGAATGGCTATGACTGTGCAGGAATGGGTGTGCTTATGTGTGCAAATATATGAGTGTGCATGCCTGAGTGTATGCATAAGCACTGGTATGGGTGGGTGTGCCCATGTGAGTCCAGGTAGTACCACACAGGTTGGAGAATGTGTGTGCGCCATAAAGCAAGGAGGAGCTAAAGGCAAAAGACCATAAAAGAAGCTCTCAGGTGACACGTTGTAAAAGTGCTCTTCCCCTTTTACAGATGTGGGCTGATGCTGACCATGGCCACAGATCTCCTCCTCTGGCTGTTAGCGGTGACCAACGACTCTGTTCACAGGGAAATTGAATCGGCACTCAAAGGTCTTGTGCAAAATTTTCCAGTCATGGCTCATTCTTCACTGCTTCTTAATAGCAACAGGTAGACAGGTAGGATGGAGAATCCGCGAGGTCAGCACTAGCCGTTGGCCCCAGCCATTCAGTTTTCAGGATCATCTCCACTGGGATGCATGGCTTCACTAAAGCACAAGGAGTTGGTGTCTATTTTTCCGGAGAAAGAGGAAGTTTTTCTTAACTGCAGGTTGAGGTCACCCGTAGAGATCTAGATTGTTGGATGATCCGTACTACCGTTTGTGGGTCGTTTGGAACATGCTGATTTGCCTGGAAAGCTATTTAGCCACTAAACTTTGGAGATAAAGAGGTCTCCTGGGAGAAGGTCTAGGTAGGGAAGGAAAGAGAATACATATTACACACAGGGCAAGGGCTACACGTAGTCATGGTCCAGGACTGGGTCCGGTCTCTCCTTCCAGAGAGAGAGAGATGCCCATCAGTTCCCTACGTGACTAATTCATCATGACACGGCAGAAACCTCAAACCCTCAGGACGATGTTATAGACCTTTACTAGGGGTCTTAACCTCCCAGATGCATGTGAAGAGAGTTTAGTGGATTGAGCAGGGAGATAGGAACCAGAAAAGCCTTAGCACTGATCCTGGCTTTGCCATTGGCTTGCTGTGTGGCCTTGGACAGGTGACTTCACCTGTCTGTGTCTTGTACAAATGGAGAAACCAATATTTCCCCCCTTCCAGGGTGGACTGGGAGGGCTGATTAGTTAGTATTTGTACTGGGCTTAGAGCATGGGAAGGGCAAAATATTATTATTCTGCCCCCTTCCCGCCAGTCTTAAAGGCTCATTTGGCTTCATGCAGGTCTTTAGGCTTTCTGGGGCAGGCAGGTATGTAGGACCTCACTGCAGGTAGCCAGGAAATAGACCAAAAAAACTTCCCAGGCTATTCGTGCCTCCCAAATGACCCCCTTCCTCTTCCCTCACTCCAGGTAACGAGTCCAGCTCATGCACGTGTCCAAACACAATAGCCTGCCGCGTCTTCCAGAAGGGCTATATCTTGCTGTATCCCTTCAAAATGGAATACTGCCTCATCGGCAGCTCCATGCTGTACGTCATGTGGAAGAACGTGGGCAGGCGCATCCCTCCCCACCACACCATTCATGCCAAGCCCAAGTTCAAGCTCCGTGGTGTCATTTATGGGCTGGTGCTGGGCATATCTACATTGTTCATTGGGATCTGCATCTTCATGACCTACCAGATTGAGGCTACCAGCTCAGCGCCTAGGCAGGAGACCCTTGTGCTGTATTATTCCTACTACGTCGCGCTTCTGCCGATGATGACTGTGGGTGCCTTGGCTGGAACTGTCATCCATGGCTTGGAAGAGCGTGAGCTAGACACTCTGAAAAACCCAACCCGAAGCCTGGACGTGATCCTGCTCATGGGAGCAGCCCTAGGCCAGATTGGCATTTCTTACTTCTCCATTGTCGCCATTGTGGCCACCAACCCTGGAGACCTGCTAAACAGACTCATCCTGACCTACGCGGTCAGCCTCATCATTCAGCACATCACGCAAAACATCTTCATTATCGAGGGGCTTCACCGGCAGCCTTTGGTGGAGGATCCTGATGCCAGCCTGGCTGGGCCCCACACACAGCACTCGGGTCCATCCAGTGAAGAGACGGCCATGTCACACACCAGCCAGGAGCCTGCGCCGCCCCCTGGCAACAAAGAGACTGAAACAAAAGAAGGTGAGAAGCGTGAAGACTCTGACCCGAGAAGAGTTTACCCACTAGAGATAAGACAGGAGATCAGGAGGGTTTCGCATGCCTACAGCCATACCTACGGCCGCCTGAACTGGAAGAGGAAAGCCCTAAAGGAGATCTCAATCTTCTTGGTCTTGTGCAACATCATAGTGAGTATCTCTCTCAAGCTGCCTTCTCTACATCCCAGGCCTGGAATGAGAACAAGTATACCAGAGAACACCTTGGTTCTACATTCTCTCTCTCTCACACACACACACACACACACACCTGCCCACCCCACCTTCTCTTTCCTTTGAGCCATCCATTTTGTTCATCCACATTCCCTAGGCCTGCTACTAAACTCTTACACACCAGCACTGAGGCTCATGCTACAGTGCAGACAAGGTTTCCTGTTAACCTCTCACTTCCTTGACCCTAAAATATCTTTTTAAAGCGAATGACTCCAGCGTGGCTGGATTTTCTGTACATGGGTCGGGGGGAGATTTTCACGGAACATAGGCAGCTAAAAACTCCTCCGATGCCCTGATTTTAAGTATATTAGAAGTTATTAGACACATTTGGAGTTGAATAAAAAGTGCCTAACTAGGGAAGTGGGAAGCACAGCGGATAGTAGTGGGTCCTTGTCATCAAGAGTCTCCAGTATTAGGACGTGTCTGCAATGACATCTGTGCCCACACAGCTAGTTACAACCCATTTCCATTGAACAGAATAGGCAGGACCTTAACCACATCCTTGAACCGTGATAAAAACTTTGGACAGAGCTATAACATTGGCTTGAGGATGCGATTAAAACTTAGGTGGCTCCCATCTGTCACGGTTTCTGCTGTCCCTTATCAGAGTGTCTCTGAGTGCACACCCACGGGTGTCAGGCCTTTACCACTCCCCAGGTGGAATTCTGCAGTCCACCCACTTGTAAACCAGGGCGTGGGATACATCCTCTGATTACCAACTGTGACTGATTCTGCAGGTCCAACTGGGGCTGGCCCGTGCAAGAGTGTTGCGTTGGGAGCATTTGCAGGGAAACAGAAGCAGTTTCTTCAAAACAAAGCGTGATTTATTCTGCCCCCAAAGGTACACAGTGCTAACAGAAGTAGATTTAAAAACCTACTTGCATAGTCCTTTACCCAAGTTCCACCTCTCCAGCCAAAGCTCCGGCAGGTCCGGCTGATTCCCCATCTCGGAGTTGGGAGAAACAGCTCATTGCTTCTAGCCTGCTTCCTCTGCCTCCAAGTCCTCTCAGCTGTTTCAGTGACACATCCTGGCCAGCCTTTCTCAGCTCATCCCCTTGCAAAAATCCCTCCTTTTCGGCAATGGGCACCTTTTTAACAGCCCTTTGGATCCCAGGCTTAGCCTTGGGAAGAGTAAAACATCCTAGGCCTGGATGAAGTCAGTGAGGTAACTTCTGCTCCCAGCTGTTGGCCTAGCCTTTGCGATCTTAACTCCGTTGAAGCTGAGGACCTGAGAGTCTGTCAGTGTTTTACCTGGCCTGCTCAGTTCCATAACTCCCCCTTCACAGCCGCCTGTGAGTTAGCGCTATGCACGCAGTCAGGCCACAATACAACAGGGAAACCGAGTCACGCAAAATAGTCATAAAAATGCTACATTTTCCAAGTTCCTCATGCCAGACACACGAGAAAAGCTGAACCAGGCTGTGGGGGCAACTGTGTTGTTACTGAGTCTCCAGACGGGGTTATATTAGAGACACGGTTTTACTTGGCAGAGACTGCAGTAGTGTAAGGGGAGGAAACATCCCTCTGAGATGTCTTCTGTTAAGGAGAGGACTTGCTCTGTTAATCAGAGATACCCCAGTGAGTGCCTCAGCTAGCCCTGCGTCCACTCAGCACCATAGGCTTTTGAGCATACCCAGTGCCATGGACTATGCTGAATATATATAGGACAATGGTTTTCAAGCAGGGGTACGCATACCCCTGGGGATACACAGAGATCTTCCAGGGGGTACAACAACTCCTCTAGATATTTGCCTAGTTCTACAACAGGCTACAGAAAAAGCACTAATGAAGTCAGTACAAACTAACGTTTCCTACAGACAATGATTTGTTTATACTGCTCTGTAGACTATACACTGAACTGTACGTCCAATATTTATATTGGAATTATATGGTAGCCATGAGAAAGTCAGCAATTTGTCATTCGAAGTGGGCTGTGACACTTTTGTATTTTTACATCTGATTTTGTAAGCAGACCGTCTTTAAGCGAGGTGAGACTTGGGGGTACACAGGACAAATCAGACTCCTGAAAGGGGAACAGTAGTCTGGGAAGGTCGAGAGCCCCTGATACAGGACACCCTAACCTCCTCTGACCTCTACTCTTTGTAACCACCCTTCTAGCTGTGGATAATGCCCACATTCGGGATGCACCCCGCCTTCGAGAACGGACTGGAGAAGTCGTTTTACGGTTACTCCACCTGGTTTGCCATTGTGAACTTCGGCCTGCCCCTGGGTGTGTTCTACAGAATGCACTCCGTCGGGGGGCTCCTGGAGGTTTATGTGTCATCCTGAACCAGGCCCAACCCTCCCTCGCCCAGTGGTGGAGGGAGAAATGGAGCTGAAGTCACACAGCAGTAGCTGGATGGGGGAGACCTGGGAACAAAGACACAGATACTGCCAGCTCGCTTTCATTTTGACTTTCACTCCTCTGAGCCCTATTTCTCAAGGAGTTCCAGATGAAAGGGAAGTTGCTTTGTGTTTTGAACATGCTGGTGTCAACTTTCTCCATAGAAAAACAAAACAATCTGGACTGGTCTGTAAAATACTGTACTGCTCAATGGAAACAAACTAGTGCCAGAATAATAGGGATAATATAGTTACTGCACTCAGGACACTCCACCTTCAACCCTCTGAACATAAGAGCAGCATCATGATGCACAGACTGAAATGCACTCCACAGAACCTCTGAAATCAAGGGCAAGAACCCTCTCAGCAATCTGAGGAAGAGGCCACAGAAATACCTGAAGTACATGCCCCATGGTCAAGCAAAAATGAACAAAAATGCCCACTTTTTACATGGATGTATGGAAGTACAAGGTTCATATGAGCACCTATGGAGCGGGGTGTAGTGGTTAGAGCAGATCTGGGTTCTGCTCCTGATTCTGACACTAACTCTATATGTATCCGTGGGCCAGATGCTCAAAGATATTTAGTTCTTGAAGGACTTGTCTACACTCAAAATGCTACAGCAATGCAGCTGCATCTGTGCTGTTGTAGTGCTTCAGTGTAGATGCCACCTATGCTGGCAGGAAGGGTTTCCCCGTTGGCATGGGTAATCCACTTCCCTGAGAGGCGGTAGCGAAGTTGACGGAATTCTTCTGCCAGCCTACTGCTGTCGACACCCAGGGGCTAGGGCGATTTAACTTTGCCACTCAGGGGGGTGGATTTCTCACATCCTTGAGTGATGTAGCTGGGTCAACCTAACTTTTTAGTGTAGACCTGGCCTTACTCTCATTGAATTCAATGAGACTTAGGGCTGGTCTACACAGAAAACGTACAGTGGCATAGCTACATCTCTCGGGGGGGGGGGTGGTGTGTGTGTCAATTTTTCATTGCCGACCTAACCCCGGTGTAGATCACATTGGGCGGATGGAAGAATTCTTCCGTTGACCTAGCGACCGCCTCTCAGGGAGGCAGATTAATTACAGCGACTGGAGAACCCCTCCCATCGCTGTACGAGTGTCTGTGCAGAAGTGCTACAGCAGCACAGCTGGAGCACAAAAGCTGTGCTGCTGTAGTGTTTTAAGTGTAGACACAGCCTAGGGCTCCTGAATACCCTGGAGGATCTGGGCCTCTGGGATCAATTTTCAGAAGTGCTGAGCACCCACAACTCTAATTGAAGTCAAAGGGAGGTCTGGGCACTCAGCATCTCTGGAAATCAGGCCATAAACAGCTCTGTGTCTCTATGTCCCCATCTGTAGAATGGGAACGAAACCACTTACCCCGTTTAACTGGGCTCAATGAAGGTTCTGACAGGCATTCGGCGCGCCGCCGGTGAAAAGTGCTAGAGAAGCGTTATAGTTATCACTTAGCTTATACTTGACATTCTTCAGTCCTGCTTTTTAATGAGTGGGTTTCTTGTTCTCTCATGACATGGAATCAGCTGATCCTTTTGCGCTAGTGAAGGTCACACCATTGCCTGCCGTTTTGAAAGCCTAGCTAGGGGCAGTTCCCTGGCCTGTGTTACACAGGAGGTCAGACTAGATGATCACCATGGTCCCTTCTAGCCTTGGAATTTACAAAAGCCCTAAAATAAGCTAATAATAATTCTACTGTGACTCCCCCTCCCCACTTTGTGCTTTCCACAGTCTGTACAGAATGGAGCAATGTGCGTTAACCTGTGTGCAAATCCGGGAGTAAAAATGCACCGCACCGTGTTTGATGAGAAACACATCAGGTGTTTGATTTACCAAAGGCACTTCGGTGGGGAACTGGAATGCACAGAGGCTAGCAGTGGCCCTCGTGACCGAGGGCCCACTGAGCTCAGTGAATAGAAATAAAGACAATTTGAACAGTCACAGTTTGCTGTTGCAGTCTTTGTTTCGCCCTTTGCTCACAGAGCCTGACCTAAAGCCCTCCATTGGTTGCAACAAGCTTCGGATCCAGTCCGTCCCAAGTACAAAGATTATATAAAGATTTAAGGGCAGGTCCCGATTTTACAATCAATCCATCTTTTCTTGCTATCAAAATCCTTCATGTCACTTAACCAAGGCTGATGGATTAAAGTGCAAATACCACTACCTTTACTGCTCCCATCCAACATAAATCAGTCTAAAGAAGGGTTTGGCTAGGTTCAGAGCTTGGATTCTCAGAACTGCAGCCTTGTATAAAAACAAAACACCCTACAAGCCACAGTCAGGGGCAGAGAGAGCTAATGGCACTCGGAAATGCCTCTCTGAAGAGCCTCTGACACTGGCATCCCAGTGGGTACAGATCACAATTACTGCAACTAGTCTGGAAGTTACAAGTGAGACTGGTCAAGTGAGCATGGACTTTGCCTCAAATACTTTTACTAAGCCTTATGTCAACAAGAAATGTCAGGAGAAATTACAGCTGAATAAATTAGGCACCAATAAAGTTAATTATTACTTCCATTTCAGTTTGCACCAGGAATCTCACCCAAGGAACACACCGGAGGTCTTTTCCTTTCAAATGAAAACAAGCTCTCAAACCTTCTCCCTTGTTTGCAAAAGATACTGGAGCAATGATGTATGTGCGTGGGGAAGAGGAAAATTGCTTGAGAAGGTCACGCTTGAGTTGATAGGGCCTAGCTGATCAGGGAGTTCTGGAGGCCTAACACTGAGATACAAATACTAGCACTTTGCAGGCATGTCTACACAGCAAAAACACACCCGTGGCAGCGAGTCTCAGAGCCCACATCTACAGACTCAAGCCTGCGAGGCTCACGCTGTGTTGTGTAGATGTTCCTGCTCAGATTGGAGCTTGGGCTCTGAGACGCATCCTCCTCAAAGCCCAAGCGGGAACTGGTAAGTGGCTATTTTTAGTGTCGTAGCACAAGCCCCGTAAACCGAGTCTGTAGACCCAGTTCTGAGGGTCGCTGCCGTGGGGGAGTTAGCAGTGTAGATGTACCCTGTATGTACAATGAATGTCTACACACAGCATGAGAGGGAAACTGGGATGTGGTCTCTTGTGGCAACATCATGAACTTACCTATGAAGTTCACTGACCAATGATAAAGAGGCCAATAACCAGTCAGCTCTGGAACATAGGAACTGCCATACCAGATTGGACTAGTGGTCCAGCTACACCAGTATCCTGCATCTGACAGAGGCCAGCATCAGCTGCTTCAGAAGGTACAAGAAACCCCCTAATGGACAATGCTGGAATACCCTGCCCAGAGGGAAGGTCTCTCTCTAACCATAGGTAGTTTGTTAAGCCCTGAGGCACAGAATTTATATCTCCCAAAGTAGATAGGACAACAAAAATCAAAACTCTAGCTGGAAAGGATCTGGGGTTTTACAGTGGATCACAAACTGAATATGAGTCAACACTGTGATGCAGTTGTGAAAAAGGCTAATATCATTCTGGGATGTATTAAAAGGACTGTCGTATGTAAGACACAGGAGGTAACTGTCCCGGTCTACTCAGCACTGGTGAGGCTTCTGCTGGAGTGCTGTGTCCAGTTCTGGGTGCCACATTTTAAGAAATATGTGGACAAATTGGAGAGAATTCAGTAGAGAATGATAGACGGTTTAGAAAACTTGACCTGTGAAGAACAGTTAAAAAAAACGGAGCATTTTTAGTCCTGAGAAAATAAAACTGAGAGGGGGCCTGATAAGTCTTCAAACATGTAAAGGGCTGTTACAAAGAGAACAGTGATCAATTGTTCTCCATGTCTACCGAAAGTAGGTCAAGAAGAATTAATCTGCAGCAAAGGAGATTTAGGTTAAACATTAGGGAAAAAATTCTAACTCTAAGGAGAGATAAGCTCTGGAACAGGCTTCCAAGGGAGGCTGTGGAATCCCCGTCACTGGAGGTGTTTAAGAACAGGTTGAACAAACACCTGTCAGGGTTGGTCTAGGTTTACTGGATCCTGGCTTAGTACGGGGGGCTGGACTTGATGATATCTCAAGGTCCTTTAGCCCTATATTTCATTATTTCTATGTACTCATTATTCATATAAGTATCTAATCCTTTGTTGGAATCCTGTGAAGCCCTTGACCTCAGTCATTTTAACAGACCCTAATCGCAGCATATCAAAGGCCAGGAATGCACAGGTCAGGTAAGTTTACCAGAGATAACCAGGTGGGAAGCCACCCGTTGCAAAGGAAACCAGGACACCATATCCTCCTGTCACATAAATCATGCAGTAGGCCCCCAGAAGTAACACAAACAAGATCATAAACCCCCTCTGGAACAGACAGAGTCAAAGCAGGTGCCATGTTTAAGATAATTTTTATATCTCTGTAGGTGAGCAAATAGTTTACAGTGCAATTTGATTTTCATGGAACAAAGACTGAACTTGAAACATCAAGGAACATGAACCTGAAACATCAAGGAACATAAAACTGCAGAGGAACTCACAAAGGAACAGAAGATATACAAAGCAAACTGAAAGGCCGGAAGATACCACAAAACCAGTGTGCATGACGGGCAGGGGAAAAGCAAGCATCCGGGACACCAGAAGTCCCTTGTCCAGCTGTGAGGTGCAGGTGCGGTACAATCAGATGTCGGCCCATCACCAGGGCTCCATCAATCACATTCTTCCAATGAGAGATTTCCAAGCAAAATATAGACTTCAATCTGTAAATGTCTTTATACAGAACGGGGGTGGTGGTGGTGGAAATGATGACAAAATGCATTGGGGGTGGAGAGAAAAAAGGTTCCCTTCATCTATCCCTTGTCCTTCAAGGATATTCCAGGCTATACTCCAGTACCAAACTGGGCTGGGGGTTTTAGTCCAGTTCCAGCACCACAGGAGGGGGACTGCTTTGATACTAGATCAGTGAGCAGATGATCTCCTAATGTCCCTGCAAACTATAGATTCCCACACTTACCATGCCTGAGATCCAATCCAGTCTAGCTTTTTTAATCCAGAAGCCATCAAGGCCTTCTGAAGGATCCAACTTCACCCCAGCGGACACTCCCACCAGTGTCTAGCTGCTTTTCTCCTGCTGCCTTCAACTTGCTGCTTAAGACTTCCCTGAGACCTTCGTTCAACCCCTTGCCCTGAAAAAGCAGTGCACAACTGATCCCTTCCACCATTCCCCACATGTCGTGACAATATGCCCAGCAAGGAAGGTGGGATATAGCTTTTTCCAAGGCTAGACAATGCTGTCCCTTCAATCAATTGGAAAAGGCTGCTGGACGGCGATACAAACTGTTCCTTTCTCCTTGCAAGGAAAAGCCTGCTGATGCCTCCGGGTCCAGCCCTTTTCTCCCAGCCTTTGCACTGACCCCCTTAGTCTGAGTAAGGTATTCAAAGTGGCTTTAGACACATACACTCTGGTCATTTAAAGAGCCCATCTCTAAGGGCACAGCACCATTCCAGGTCTGCAAACCTCCAGGGCAGTGAGTGGCAAAGTGGGGAAGAAAGGGAAAGGGCAGAGCTTTGGACTTTCCATTGAAGCATTGGCTTACAGCAACCGACGGGGAAGGAAAGAGGGACTCAAAACACAGACATGAGGTGGATGAACAAATAGATTCCCTTTAGCATTCCCTTTTCATTCAGCTGGTAAATAAAGATCCTCCAGACCTGCCATGGACAGTGAGGAGAGGCAGCAGCAAGACGACCTGCAACCTGATGGAGTCTTGGAATAAATTCTTTGGAAAAGAACCACAAAAACTATGTATTTCTACAATAAAAAAAACACGCACCTCCCGCAGCAGCAGCAGCTTCCCTCGCTGACCCAGTTTAACTCTTTACATTCAGAGTCTTTTAATCAAATGCTGAATCTG